ACCTGTTGCAAATCAGCGTCTCCAGACTAAACAAAAGAAGCCAGAGCTGCGAGCCTTTCTTTGTCCCGAAGTTTCTCCTCCTCAAGTGTTGAAGTAAACCGTCCACAGTCAGCACAGCGCCACACAGTGGCCACAAAAAGTGTGAAAAGTGCAGAGCCACGCTGCTTTAGTCACTTTGTCCAACTTGTACGGGGGTTTCTATTGTGTGTGTGTGTGTGTGTGTGCGTGCGCGCTGCACCACGAGGTCCACGAATGTAACAAGGCGAGTTCCCACAACGAGGTCAGGATGAACGTTAGCCCAGTTCTGGAGACAGACGGCGGCTAAAGCAGATTAAGGTGATTCTCTGACGTCATCGCAGCCAAACGTGAGCATTTTTTAACAGAAAACTCGTGTTTGATCCACGACAACAACAAACAGCCGTGAAACCTACAGTCAAGTCGACATCCTTCGAGAAAACCAGCACCAAACTTCGACGTACGAACGTCTTCTGTTTTCCTTTCTAACGCACAAAGAAAACGTCTTCAGGTTCAAACTTCCACGGCGATCACGCCGTGACACAATAGACGACACATGGCCACGAAGGCGCGTCAGGAGAGTCGATGTGTCAACTGTTAAATCAGGAAAAGAAAAACAACTTGTGTGAGAAGGGAATTAAAAATAAACCCCGAGCTGATCGACTTTTCTGACGACGCGCCAGCACATGGTACAAAAAGCCCCCTGTCACGTCTGGAAGGAAACAATAGGCTGCACGTTCAGCCTGGGATGGAAACGGCTTCTCTTCACGTTTCCACTCCAAAAAGCACCCATTTCTCCCCCACTCACCCTTTTTAGTCTTCATCTCTCGTCGTAAATGTGTCCCTTTGTCACGCGCTGAAGAAACCCGTCCTCCGTGTCCCTGCGGTTGTTGTCTTCCCTCCAGATATCCAACAGTGCGAGTCCGAGTCTGGCGTTTTTGTAAAAAAGAAAAAGAAAAGAAAGAAATCCTCCTTGGTGAAAAATCCTCTTTTCTTCTGCTTGTTGTTTCTGTCCCTGCCGCTCGTCCTTGTTTGGTTTGGAGTCTGTGATGAAGGAGGAGGAGGAGGAGGAGGAGGAGGTGAAAGGGAGTTTTTTTGTTCCTTTACCTGAGATCTCCGCGTCCTTTCCACTCAGAGCCCGTTCCTCATTGACTGTGTGTTTGATCGTGGAGCTGGGTGACAGCTATCTTTGACAGCTGCGTGACTCAACGCACAGAGATCCTCCCACCGAGCCGTGGAAGGCAGGAGGGAAAAAACCTCTGACATCAGCACGGCTGCTCTGCCTGTTCCACTGACACGCATCACCGTCTGCGCTCTGCCGCAGACCCTGCGCGTCCACGAGCCGACGACGGAACACCGCGATCTGTCGATCTCACCGGCCATATTGTCACTTTGTTTATTTATTCATTATGGCGTGGAGGCTGTGGCCGGAAGTCGGAATGACAACAACAACAACATGCGGCTGAAGCACTGCGGACCTCGTGGTGACAACACAGCCGTCTACACGATTCAGACGTCGGTAGTTTTTTTTTTAAAGGAACGAATTAACCGATTATTTCACTTCCGTGTGTGACGTTGTTTTGAATTCCACTTGTGTTCAGTCGATCCTCTCTGAAAAACAATCCTGTTACATACCCCCCCCCCCCCCCCCCCCACCATCACTGCAGCTCATTGTGTCACAGACGATTTTTCTCCCGTCTCCTCGTCTAATTATTTTTAGCCTCACTGTCGTCATTCACTCCACATTTCCTCTAATTAAAGTCAGACTCTGGTAATGTGTGAAACACTGAACGCGGTTCGGTGTGTGTGTGTGTGTGTGTGTGGCGGCAGCTGGAGGTTAGTGTAGCAGCGGCCCAGGTTGACCGATCGATGCGCTCATCTGTATGCGGATCACGGAGCTGCGACAGCTGCTCTCTCCAACGTCCTCTTTCATTCTTTCTGTTTCTCAATGCGTTTGTTTCAAGCCGTGCGTTTAATTCTCCTACGGCGGATAATTGTCGCCATCGTGCGTTCGCGTGTGGTAATGATTCTGAAATGCAACATGGTCGTTTGGATCGTTATATGCGCCTGACGCCCTCTGGTGGAAGCTAATGCAGTGTCACTGTTTTGTCTCGAGCGGACTGAAGATTAGGGACCAAAAAGAAATAGTAATTATGTAAATATAATTTTAAATTTATCTTAATTATGTATGCAAAATAAAAAATGTTAATTTAAAAAAGTATTCAAGTAATGGATAATCTTCAGTGTAGGAAGTAATTAGTCCAGTATTTAGTCCAACACCTGTGAAGGACACTGTCATTCACTTCACCTGCTGGTGGTCTCTGTGTCCTGTGTGACGTGATGTCCTTTTCATAAAAAAGTTAAAAGTCCACAGTGTGAGCAGTGAGTGTTGACACTGGACAAACTCAAACCGTCAGACAATGTGGTATAAATAGACGTGACTAAGACACGGAGCCGCTGCCAGGCAGCTGTTTACACAGACACCGTTCTTCTCAGACGTCCGCAGCATATGTCCACATTACAGATCAGTGGCCGTAGTGCTTGTTTTAACAGCTATAAGCTAGCTAACATTTGGCCAAACGTATAACACAGGGTTAGATTAGAGGTTAAACATGAGTCAAATAGCTAACTAAAGTTCAACAAATACTGATTGATGGGTAAGATGTTGACTAAACAATTAGCCTCAAATTACGTTTAAACCATATTTTTAATTTTTTTTATTTATAACTATAAAGTAAGTTAAAGTAAGTAAATAAATAATAGCTGATTGTTGTTTGAATGAATTGACCTGTAAACATAGTCCAAAAACAAACCCTTATATATATATAAAAAAAACAAACTTTCATTTCATTCACCGATGGTTCGTTCGATGTTCGAAGATGTAACGACATACTTTTCATTTTATTAAACGCTTGTTCCTTCGTGCTCTTATTTTGAAACCACCGCACGGGAAGTGTCCCTGTTTGTGTCCACCGTGGACTTGACGGTGTTTTGGAAGGCGAGGTCCTCTTACATTTGGAAGTCTAAATTTAGGGACGCGCCCCAAGTGTAAATGACGGCAGCGGACTAAAGTGAAGCGTGTCTCCGTCTGCGTGTCACCGGTGACGGGACATGGGGTCGTGCTGTCCAACTGTTGTCGATGACACGCCGTTTATTTTGGGTTGTTGTTGTCATCCTGCCGTAGCAGCTGCGGCTGCGTGACTTCACGGTATAAAGGGACTCCTTCAAAATGCAGCTGTACAACAGCGCGCTGACACACTACCCGAGGTCGTCGCACAAACTTAATATAACTTTATCCGCCGCTTCCGAGCGACTAAACGGGACAAACGCCGCCGCCTCGGAGGCCGACCAGCCGGGATTAACTCATCCAGAGGCAGACGCGACTGCAGCGGCCAGCGAGGATTCGGTGAGAGGGACGCCTTCTTCCGCAAACATGCCTGCCTTTTCCTGCTACGAAGCCTCGTCCATGAGGCCCATTTACTTCACGTCCACTGCTGAGATTCTAATCAGGAGACCGGATGGATCCGAAACATCTGTGCCCGTTCACATCATGAGGGAGTCCCAGACCAAATCCGCGCCCCCGGACCCACGTCACGGAGAAAGCATCCTGTGTAATGACTGTGACAGTGACGTGATTGTGGAGCTGATAGACCATCTGAGGAATGGAAGGGAAGAATTCTTTCCTGACGGTCGGGAACCGTCTGTCAATCATGTTTACACCAGGAGTAACATCTGTGGACCCAGGGTAGAAGAAGACAACCAAAGGATTGTGGGTAATCTCGGTCAGGCGGATGACTTGTGTTTACTGACCGACGTCAGAGGCAGTGAATGGACCTCTCTTCATGAAGCAGAACCCGTTCTGTCCACAGCGGCTCAGTCTGTGCTTCCAGTGCAGGAGAACGTCCAGGTGGCTGCGGCTCCGTCTCCTCCAGACGGACCACAGGACTTTGAGCTCAGTGTTCTGCAGGATTCAGGTCCGCAGAGATGCAGAGAGAGAGGGGAGGTCAACGACAAAGTGAGCCGGTACCTGGCCGAGGTGGAGAGGCAGAACAAGTACCTGCAGGAGAGGAACAAGTACAGGTACCACATCATTCCAGATGGGAACTGTCTGTACAGAGCCGTGTGCAAGGCCACGTTCGGGGACCAGGCGAGACACGGCGAGCTGCGGGAGCAGACCATGCACCACATCGCCGACCACCTGGACCAGTTCAACCCCATCATCGAAGGGGACGTCGGGGAGTTCCTGATCAACGCCGCTCAGGAGGGAGCCTGGGCCGGATACCCAGAGCTGCTCGCCATGAGTCAGATGCTGAACGTCAACATCTACCTGACCACAGGGGGCAGCCTTGAGAGTCCCACCGTCTCCACCATGGTGCACTACCTGGGCGAGGAGGACGGGTCCAAACCCGCCGTGTGGCTGAGTTGGCTCAGCAACGGTCACTACGACGTCCTCTTGGACGTGTTTCTGCCCAACCCCGAGTACGAGGACTGGTGCAGACAATCGCAGATGCAGCGGAAGCGAGACGAGGAACTGGCCAAGTCCATGGCAGCCTCGCTGTCTAAAATGTACATTGAACAGAACGGGACAGTGTGAGAGGAACGTTTGTAGGACTGAGGAAGTGCAGTGCACGGACCCTGGTGTGACCTGTGCCAACACTGAGACAGAGTCAGAACAATTAGCTTTTGTTTTTAAAAAGTGTGCAAACCTGTCTGTCCTGATGGAGCGTCAGTTCTGTCAACATCGCAGCAGAGACAACTGTTTCCTGTTTCCTGTTCACACAAGTGCCCCAGATATTCAACTGAAGATATTTATTTACTGCTCACCTGCAGACTTTATTTTTCTATGCTCCTGGTGTCAGCTTCTTCATACTCAGAGACGCAGTTTGCATCTTGATGATTCAGTCTGATGTCACTTTACTCTCTTTATGCACAAATGTCCAATCAGACTAGTCTGGAAAGTATCTGTATGTATAATTAAAGCTTTATTTTTTCTATTGTTGCCTTTCTTTGAAGGAATTTTGACACAGATATGCAAATAAAGTTGACAAAAAAAACCCTTGGTTGGTTCTTTACACCCTGCAGCCACATCCACTGTTACAGACGTTCACCATCACAACTAGAACTCTGTAACTCCGAAACAGGATTCTGTGTCTCAGCAGGTGGACCATGAGGGTGAGGTGGGCCCCAGGTTGAACCACCACCACTGCTGCTGGCCTTAAGGAAAGAGAGAAGTTAGGGTTTTACTGCATGTCCACTACAGTGACCCTGGAGGACACGCTGTCTCATCAGACTGCAGAAGTGACTCTGGCCTCGGGACATGGACGACAGTGGAGACACCTGAGGACAGTGGTAAGAAAGTACACTGCTCCAATGTAAATGTTAGCTTTTCTTTTTTTTTTAAACTTATCTTTATTAGTCATTGTGACACAGCACACCATGTACCACGAAATTTACCCAAAAACCCAAATCACCAAAGTGAACAGTGGGCAGCCATGGTCGGCGCCCGGGGAGCAGTGCTTGAGGATGTTCAGTGCATCTCAGTGGCAACCTGGCAGTTGGTGGATTCGAACCTGGGGCCTTCCGGACCGAAGTCCGCCTCCTTCACCACTAGGCCACCACTGTCCTTCATGGTGCAGTCGCCCGTCCTCTTGTTTTATGGCACTGTGTTCTAGATGGTAAAGTTGCCATGTTGTTCCATTAGGGGGCATTATAACCCCCCGTATACATCTGGACCTATGGCGCTCATACACAGTACTGTGTCTGCTAAATTAAATTTAAAAAATAATAATTTACCACCCAGATTATAAAATCCATCTCTGAATCTTGTGTTAAATTAAGTTTTGTTTGTTAGTATTTTAATCACGTCTCTATGTTGGCCTAGACTTTAAAAATAGACTTTTTATCTCAATGACACTTTACTGTTGGTAAAGCAACAACAACAGTAATAATAATAATAATTTTCTTTTTAAATGAAATAAAATATTCTCGCTTTTCTGGTTAACCTTTTTTTGTTTTGCCTACTTTCCTGTGTCTCGCCAACATTTATCTTTTCTATCTTTTCTAACTTCGTTGCCTTTTAGTTAATTTCCATTCCCCTTTACTGTTTAGTTCACTTTAAGCTACAGTACCGGAGGCGAACTATCGTTTAGGAGCCTCTCGGTATTTCTAATTAGTTCTTTATAACTTTAATTAGCTACTTTGTTGGTTAGCTTCTATGCTAACTTAGCTTCTTCCGGCCTTAGCCGCCGGTGTTGATGACGAGCCGTGATGTCGTTGGTGAGTCTGTGCTGTCCTTTAAAATTAAAAATATGCTTTTGTTAACTTACACAGATAAACATTTATTAACGGCCTTTTGTTTGTTTTGTGCTAAAGAAGACTTTTATGAGTCGTCTTTTAAAAAAAAGTTGTTTATACTTTAGACAAATACAACAAAATGTGAAAATCAAACTTCTGGTATAGTTAATACCGTGATAGTTTTCAACCCTGTTGCGCCTTACATTTATTAAAATGTAACATAATTATGTCTTATGTTAATGTCTATTATTATGGAGGTGTTTAATTATTGTTTGGAAAATGACTGTTGCTGTGCGGCCTTTTAACAACTTTCTCCTTTTAACAAAAGAAGGAGACGTGTATGGAAACATTTAAACGTTAAATATCTCTAACTTTTGCCTGGTCAAAAAGAAACATTTCAGATATCCACAGCGACATTCTTCCCAGGGAAAATGACGTCACGTTTGCCATTCATTTGTATGGGTTTCATAATTACAGATATTCACAATTCAGTTGTGAATATCTACAACTAAATTATAGATATCTGTAATTCCGTTTGATTCTGACTAGTCATAACTCATTCATCTACACGCGTAGATTACGGACATCTTAAATTACGTTTTGACTAGTCAAAATGACGTAGATATCTCTAACTGTAACTATAACTAGTCAAAATGAC